AGGAGGGGGAAAGAAAGGAAAAATAGAGGGAAAGCTGAAACAGGAAATTAAAATATATTAAAGAGCTTAGCAGCTCAAAGTCAAATTAACTGGTTGCTGTCACAGCATGGTTGCTGTTTTCTCTACTACACGACCTTAATTTTCTCTTATCTCATTAACCTTCGTGTATATTTGTCCTAGATTCACATGTTATTGCTTCTACAAACAAAGAGGGCTCTACACACAATTATAAGAGGAAAAAAAGAGTAAAGCTATTTTGATCCACATTTCCACCTAAATATCTCTGGAGATTTGAATACGATCTCCTGTCAGATGTTAGAAATGTGTTAACTATATATGGAGTTTTTTCGGGAGATTGAGAATCACATTCTACTTTAAGACAACTGATTTTTTTAAAAAAAGTCTTGAGGAACAATAGTTTTCGGAAGTTCCATTACCTTAACTGTGCAGTTCTCTTAAAACTGGGATGGGCCCCAGCATATCTGGAGGCAAGTAGATGCAAAGATTTCTCCAGCACCTCTGCTAGAATCTCCTGGGCTAGCTTAGGGGGCAGTATGGTCCAGAGATCATGATGCAGAGCCCAGTAGAAGTAATGCCACATCTGGAGCGAGAAGGAGCATCTCTCCCCCTGGCAAAATCATCACACATTAAACAACAGAATCACATCTTCCAAAAATGTCAGTTTGCTTCCTATAAACCTAATTAGTTCAGGCTGAAAGGAAATAGCTGGAGAGTCTGACACACTAGATGACCAGGAAAGATTTTTGACAAGATGTTAAACATCCTATTGACAAAGGGACATATGTTTTATTTCAATTATGAGATCAGATATTCTAGTGTAAGTCCAGACCACAAGCCTTTCACCTGGCATTTTCCTGATTTACCTACTCCTGGCCTGTGGTTTAAAATGTATTTTTAAGCAATCAGCTTCACACTTGCTTCACAAGACTTGCTGGTTAATTTAAGGAAATGGATTGATTCTTTTAAAATTAAAATCTGCTTAAATTGTTAAGGAGGCATATTTTTTCTGGGACCGTTAACATGACTGAGCTAATTTTACATATCTTTCAGATTTCATACAATGAAACGAGAGGCATGAAAACCAGTGTGCATGAGGCTATAGTTACATTTATGAAACCAAGTGCGATACTTAACTATCAAAGACTTTTACATTAAGCTATTTCGGCAATGGTGTTTTAATAACAGTATTATTCTACAAGAGATACCACAGTAGTCTAATTTTACCTAATTTTCTAAAGAATAGACCATATTATTTAACATTTTTTCACAGTACTCCCAAGTGGCCAGAGTCCCATTTTTTCCTCCATTCCTCTACACACCTCTTCTATGTGCCAAATTTTCCCTGACTACAGAAGGAGACCAAACAGTGGCCCAGGCCAAGGGGAACAGGCAGGAAGGAGGAGATAGCCAGCCTCAAGGGATTTGCAAGCATTAATTAAGTGTCATGCTCTTAGGGAAGTTTGGTAGTTGTTTGGCCTCATTTTCTTCAAGCCAGATCAAAAGATTATCTAAATTAGGAAGAAGAGAATTCATTTTTCAAACTTAATCTATGTTAATATATCAAAATATAAACTAGTAAAATTTCCTATTTTATTCTTAAATATTTCCCTATGATGTTATGCTGTGCCTACTATTATATTTCTAAATACGTGTTATCTAAGCACTATCAGTGGTGGCTCTCTCCTGTCTTCTTGGCACTTGAGAAGGTGAGGTAAGGGGACTGATATGAGTTTCAAGACAGCCTGGGCTACATAACAAGTTTCAGGTAACTCTGGACTATAAAGTGGCACTGTCTCAGACAAACAAAGAAACAAAACATTCTGCTCTTCTCTTAAATCAAAAATCACTTTCTCACACAGATATTCTCCTCACATGGTATCTTCAACAGTTACTTTGATTACTGAAATCTTTTGTAGTCATGGAAATAATAATTTATACTTACTGAAATTCAAGTAATAATCATAAATGTGTAGAATTATTATTCTTTGGATAGGAAACTTGGACTCAAAATGTCACTGAAGTCAAGTTCAGACAGAAAGGGACTTTGATTAGTAGTTGCTGACTGCCTAATTAGATGTGCTAAACTGTTAAAAGAAAAAAATATATAAAATAAAGAGGAAGCAGCAATATCACACTCTCTTCTCCCAAGACTTAGGGATCATTGTGGAAGAAGGGCAGAAAGATTTTAAGAGCCAGAGGTGGTAGATGAATACAAGGAAACCAAGTTGTCTGGACACTACAGGGTACTTGCTCATATGACAGTATGCACAAGACCTATACAAGCCCAAGGCAGACAACAAACACCAACATAGATTGGGAGATGGGAAAGAAGCCCTAGTTCTAGCTGAGGCTCTGTTAACAATTGATAGATGATGGGAGAGGGAGAGTCAGTTTTCCATACTGCTGTGCTACCTGGTAGCTTGACCAGACTCCCAGGGATAGGCCTACAGCAAGGAGCATCTGGGGAACAAAGATTAGACTCGCTAGACCTTAAAAATACAAAAAGAATAATAGAGGACAAAAGTCAGGTGGGGGATAGTAAGGTGAGGGTAGAGATGAGGGAGGGGCTGAATGTGATCAAAATAAATTGTATGAAAGTCTCAAAAAAATCAATGAAAATAAGAAAGAGATGAAGCAAAATGATAACGTCATATGTTTTGTGGTGTGTTGTAAGAATCCTTGTCAAACTAAGGAGTTTTAAAGTATGATTAACTCAAAACTTCACATGTTGTTTTAAATGAAGGCCACTCTGGGCCCAGCTGACTGATTTGTGATAATTTTCTGTGGCAAGGGATGGGGGCTTGTAAAAGTGTGAGCAACAGAATTATTCATAATTCTCAAAACGCAGAAAGCCAATTTCTTCCACAGCTACCTTCTAGCACAAAGATTTCTTCTGCTCAAAATACAACATACTCATTTTAAAAACTTTTAAAAATTGTCTGTTTTTGAAAATATATTACAAAATGGTCTTTGTTCTAGAAATTCTATTTAAAATGCATACAGCTTCAATGTGTATATGGGTTTTCATTAAACTGAACAGGACTCATTTGTTTTTTTCTGACCTGTTTCCCTATTTGTTGTCATTCCAAAAGTATTCTGCTAGTAAACATCTGTTGTTTTTGCAGACCCACTATAATATAAACAGATGTGAGCTTTTGTTTAGATTATATATCAGGAAACAAGCATCTGGGCTTTATTATAGAAGCCACTCAATATTATCTTTGAACAGATAATTCTTTATTCTTTGACTATAGGAAAACAAAAGTCCCTAAAACTGAACAGATGTCAACTATACAAAAAGCTTGATTTTAAACATATAATCTCAACACCCACTCTGCTATCTGACCGGCATCTCTACAGAGTGGTCCCCAGTTCTTTGGATCCTGCAGCATGACATGTTTAGAACATAGAAACGTAGCTCTGGCTCACTTGCTATTTCAAAACACTAGCAGAGATTGTTTCCTAGCTTGTAAATTTTTTACTATTTTTCTCTACTACACTCTGCACCTGGCCATAGGTTCCTCCAAGATCTCTATCCTACCCTTCATCACCAAGCAGCTGAAGTTGCACCTCTTTCCTCTCAAAACATGCTAGTGATCCTGTTTCACAAATCAGTTGAAACAATGGCGAGAGGAGGAGAAAGGGACTCAGAAGCGAGATACAGCCATGTCAGGTACACCACTTGTCAAAACAGTTCAAAATCAATGCTATTTTTAGAAGGATCTTATTTTTGGTAAATAGAAGAGCAGTATCACTTTATTTTTTTTCTGAGCATAAATAACAACCATTAACTCTGCAATTAAATTGTAACTACTGACCATGTAAGTATATGGAAGCTACAGTACCATGTAATCAGAGGGTAACTATCTCTTTATTTCTGTCTTTGAAGCAAAAGCCTTGTCATAAGATCTAAGAACTGTGTGTTACATGGTAATTTGCTTTTAAAAAAAAAAATACTCAGTAACTACAATAACAGGTTCTCAATGCATCCACTTATTATTTACACTGTACAACTATTCTAGTTCCCAATTTTCATGAGAGGAAACAAAATATCCCTATACTGATTATCTACTAAGATGATACCTGTTCTTCACAGAGAATGCCATGCGAAATTATTCATTAGTGCCTTGACACACTGAAATGGTTTGAAACATGAGATGGCTTCATTTCTCTCTTTCTGTTTACCTCAAGGCAAGTCAGGACTCTGTGATGCTGCCAGGAGAGGGGAGACCAACACTCTCTTATCTCAGGCCACCAGCTGCATCATACCACTCTCTTTCTCACTACGACCACTACTATTTGAATTATGCTGGGTTTGGAAAAGTCTATATTGATGCTCTTGCAAAAAAGAAAAACTATCTGGGAAAGGGCTCTACAGGAGAGATGAAATGGCCTTAGAGAAAGTAGAAGTTCCTTTAAAAGAGCTTCTTATTAGCTACTCTTCTGTTGTGGCAACATTTAATATGATAACTCAGGAATAAATGGAACCATAGGAACCTTCAGTGCCAGGGAGGTGACAAGAGTGACCGTGGAATAAAAGCCCGCTGTCTTTCTCTAAGTACTCCATAGTGGTTAAGACAACCAAGAAAAATGAAAAACTATGAGCTTTAATCTAGAGGAAAGGGGGCAAGGGTAAAGATGAGTTTGGCTGATGAAAATTTTAAAACCTCGACTATCTTTTATTGAGATAGTATAAATATTTCACACTTGCATGAAATTAATTTCAAATATTATATGATCAACATATAATCTGTGGGATTCAGTGGAAGAGAAATTAATGAAGCCTGAGTGAGTAATTTTAATTAATTCTCAGTTTGGTTGTGTTGAGGATTACTAGGCTTTAATTTGGTAGATATTTGGGGATTCAAAACCTGAGCAAGGCATAAAATGATCAGCTGGGTGTTACAGTGTACTCAGAAGAATGAGAAAGAAAAAATAGGTATAAAGCATAAAGCTGCTCAATAAAAATTATTTATTAAACAAAGGTAAAATACATAGTAAGAAAGCAATGCAAGGATACCTGTAACTGGTTCCCTTGGAAGAAATACAAAGCTTTCAGCATTTTGCTATTGTTATCGCTGAGTTTTCATTGTATCTCATTATATTCCAATTCACATAGTGTTGCAACATTGCAACTCAAATTAAGCTATTTTTACTTTTAAGCAGAAGGAGAGTTCTGATGTCTAATTTATTTCAGGTTTATAAAGACACTGTTTTTCCTAAGCACAAATTCAATATTTAAAAAATATTATCCTAACAGCCTTCGTGTGTTAGTAATGCCAAGCTCATGTTTCTAATTAGCCAGAAAGCAGGTAGGCAGTAAAACATATTTGTGTAAAAAGGAGGGATAGTAAACTTAACTTCACACCTCATAAAAAGCTTTGTAGTCATCCCAGTGGTGGCTCTCAGCATCCTGTAAAATGCTTGTTGCACAAACTCTGACGCAGTAGTCCGTAACCTGAAACTGCAGAGTGTTGATGAATTCCTGATATCGTTGGACAGGCACCAGGAATATGGGTCTGTTCAGGGGGAATGATCAAAGAGACAGAGATTTAAGGTCTGTGCAGTAGGAGGTAACAATCTCCAGCACTACAAATGGTTTTGATTATTAGATATCAATCACTCATTTCCTCCTAATGCTGAAGCCTGCATCCACATTCACTTTCCAAAAAGAAAAGAAGGATGGAAAAAAATTTAAAAAGCTGGGTCTTTGTTTTGCAAGTCCTTTGAAAACGTACATCTGCTGTTCTACAAATATGCACTTCAACTTGAGACAAATTGCATTGTCAATACATCATTCAAAACTAAAAGTATTCTTTGTAAGCCTATTATTAGAGATCAGTGCATTATTTAGGCATTAAGTTATCATTATTACTGGAGAACAACATGCACTTGTCAGAAGCAACTTTTATAAAGCCATCACACATCCCACAAACATACTCTTTTTATTTAAAAAAATTGTAATTTTGTATATGTCAATTATCTCATAAGCTGTTTTAAAATAGTCTACTGAAATAAAGTGATTTCTGGCATATTTTGTTTATAAATACAAGTATGAATCATAACATCTGACTACTTATGAGAATTAAAGAAATAACAGAGCTGTATCCTACGTCAAGCCAAATTCATTTTTCTTTATCTTATGCCATTTATATTACACTTGCTTCTTTCATAACTAAGCGTCTGTGGAGGCTGAAGAAAGGAAATCGATTTTTGGGTTGCGATGGAGTGACCAGTCCACATACTCCCTCAAGGGGCCATGGTAAGTTCTGGAAAATTCAAGTGTAACTGGAAAGACTACATGATAGTACCCATGACAATTTTTATCTCTATACAGAAAACATATTGTATTTTTAGACTACTAGTACATGAGAATTAAGATTGGCAGATGCTTCCTTCTCAAATATTATGGATAGTTTATTACTAAATAGATGTCCTGCAATATGTTTACAGTAGTCTCCAGGATAGATTTAAATACATTTATTCACTATGGCAGTTCCTAACAGCCTGTTAACTTAGAAGCAAAGGAGAGAGAGAAATATTTCACAAATGTTGGTGTGGGGGACAAAAGCAACGCTAATTTCTCATTTCTAGGTGGTCTAAATATAACGTGCCTTATAGAAAGCAAAGGGTAAAATTTAGTCATGTCATAGCAGCATGCAAAAATGCAGAATATGGTTATCCTCTTTTAAGCATGTCATTTGAGATTAATCTTTTTACTATCCTTGTGTTTAATTTAATATATCCCATGTTCCACCTTTTAAACATTTCCTAGTCAGGAGGCTTGGAGGGTTAGCTCAGTGGTTAAGAGCACTGGCTGCACTTGCAGAGGACCTAGGTTTGATTCCCAGCACCCACATGGTGGGTAACAACTATTCATAACTCCAGTTCCAGGAGATCCAACGTCCTCTTCTGACCTCTGCTGGCATTGCACTGTGCACTCACACACATACAGGCAATACACTCAAACACATAATATAAATAAAAATAATAAATAAAATATATTAAAATTTCCTATTCAGAAATAAGAAAATAATCCACCATATTATTATTTTCTCCTCAATTATCATCCACCTTTTACTTTTGGGAGTTCTGATGAGTGTGTTATCTCTAAGTATGGTATTCAATGTAATTTAAAAGACACTCACTTTTTAGCTGTCTCTTTCAACAAATTATCATATCGCATGAAATGCTGGGAGACATACACTGCGGTGGAGAGGAGGATGTGCAGGTTTTTTAGGGGTGCTCTGGAAGGAACCTCCTTGCCTCTCTCTTGCAGTCTTTCCAGGACAGCTGTTGCCACTTTATAACAGGCCTCAACCCAGTTTGCTCTAATTTCCTGAAAAGAATCTTCTCTGCATGCCAGGGCCAGTGGAAGCATTGTGTCAAGTTTTTCCATGATGTCAGAACAAAACTAGGGAGAAATAAATGTGGCACTGCATTATTTGTATTGTGACAGAACCATGTAATTTATGTACAGTGGAGCCAAATTCCTAAATAATGAATTTGGCATCAAGCATAAATATAATGATGCAGCTTTATAACAATCAATTTCTCAGTTGTAGAAAGTTAAATGTTTCACGTCAAATAAGGAAATACCAAAATGATGCCTCTTTCTATACAACCCTCAAACCTTACGCTTACCAGACAGACATTATGAAAAACTCATGAGTCATCTTCACATGACAATACCTTTACTTGTTAATAGAACTCAAAAGAATATGTATCCTTGATATTAATTTTGTTACTTTTGAATTTACCCTAATTTTCTTCTAAGTTTCCATAGATTTTTTTAACTAAAGAGTACATATAAATATCAGTTTGGTTTAAAGAATCTAGAAGAAACAATCTCACATGCCTCTTCTCAGCCAGGTGCCAGCAATTTTAAGAAGTGATATGCCTGCTTTTTACTATTTAATATGTAGCTGTTCCTTTTAATAGAGAGGGGCTGAGGTAGGCACAGCCTGCCTCCATATCTGATTAACCAACAGAGCTCCCTAGGGAATGTTCTGGAGCCTCAGGGTGACAAAGAATGAGGCCATCCTTAGGGACTCGTGGGAACATCCCCATCATAGTTTGCTGTATTCCCTGTGGACTTAATGCAGAGTAACTGTTTATCTACTTTATATTCCTTCAAGAAGTTCTATGACTCCCCAAATGCTCATGACATAGATTGCTCATTTAAGTGAAAAGAACTTAAAACTGCCCAAACCAGGACAAGAAAAAGTATCTCCTTTAAACACCCCAAAATTCTGGAGTCATTCCAAGGCACAGCCCAAACAGGCAGCTTTTCAGTGTTTCCTTGTCCTTCTGATGTCACAGACCCTCTTTGGGGTTGTGTCAGACTAATGTGGTAAAGTGTTAGCAAGAGGCATAAGTTCTTTTAGGTAGCACTAGGCTCTGGACACCAGAGAAGAAAACTGGCTGTGGGTCAGGTATGAGGTACTTTCGAAAAGACTCCACCATTTGATTTATAGGTTGTTGTTAACAATTCCTATATTTAAAAAGAAAAAGAAAAAAATAAGTAAAACTAATCACACGATACCTGCCAGCAGTTAGAAGGAATTTCATTTGATACCTGCCTTTGCAACTTTCTTTGGTTGTTCCTCCTCAGGAAGCATGTGGTCATCTTGCCAAACTTGCTGGACATTTACGAGGAGCATGGCATAGCTCACAGCGGAGGTCCTTTCTGTCTGTTCCTGTTGGAGGACTTTTGTGGAAAAGTCTTCAACTGCTGCTATTATGCAGTGTGCCACGGGAAGAGACACTTCTTTAAATGCATTTCTCCAATCAAAATCTAGTGAAGTTGCCTGGAATATACATGTATATAAAGTAGGATTCATATTTTAACTTCACAACAAATGTCTCTGTTGTTATAGATATAAAACCATTGCCTTCATTCAACATATTGAATAAAGATGGGTAAAAGCTACTCTTACAACCTGAATAATATTACTTTGTGAATGAAGCAATATACAAAAACATGTACATTCTTTACACACAGTAATATACTGTCATTTCATTTTAATTCCTCAGTGGATTTAATCAAAAACTCTTTTCAAAATTTAATCTTTTAAATATAGTTCAATAAAATCGTCTTTAACGAGAGCTGAAAGCCACACTTACAACCTATCACATGAAACAACCTTTAAACTCAATATATTTAATAAAGTTTAAATTAGATTTTTATAGTCTTTTTACAGTTTATTGTTAACAAGAATTGCAACATAAGACAGCACTTAATATTCAATCTTTGATTTCTCCTTTAATCTCAGAAATCCACACAAGTTAAAATGGAAAACAGCAATAAAGTAAATTTCTCAGAGAAAACACACTGCTGTACCTTTCTAGATTTTTATTTACTAAGAATTTTATTGTTTCTTCCTTCACAAAATGGTAGGCACTACTAGTTTCATTCCAAGACATGAGAAACTGATGTGATCTACCTTGCTCTATGTTAGAGGAGCAGAGGGGCACCACTAATGTGGTAATCTCCATTGCTTTTTGTCTTTTGTTCTATGTCTCATATGGAAATATATTTGTGAAAGTATATATGCCCCAAATTCCCTCATGTTCTCTAAAGTACTTAAATCATGTGTAGTAAACAGACTGAATCTATGTTTAGAATTCAATTGTGTTTCAGTGAAACTTTGTCTGTGGTAACATGTCACTCTAACTTTAGAAGACCCTGGGTTTGGGGCTGGACAAATGGTTCAGCAAGTGAGTGTCTACAGCTCTTGCAGAGAACTGGAGTTTAGTTCCCAGGACCAAGGTTTGGTGGCTCACAAACACCTGTAACCCAAGTTCCAAGAGCTCCAATGCCCTCCTCTGGTCTCCAAAGGAACCTGTATGCATGTGCACATATTCCCAACACACACACACACACACACACACACACACACACACACACACCAAAAAACAAAATCAATCTTCTTCAAAGACTCTGGACTCTATATCCCTGACTGAATTTATCATTTTCTTGATCTCAGAATGTTTTAAAATATTCTATTTAGGCCTGGGTAAGTTTGGCTGCTGCACCCACTGTGCCTTAACTCCCCAGCCTCATTCACCCTTCCAGCTGCCCTGCCCCATCTCTTCTCCTAGCAGGGGGACTGTCACATTTCCTGCCTTGGCACTCCAGACCTCAGGACTGACCTCTTGTCCGTTTGCAAACACTCTACTGCTTCCTGATTCTTTGTATCCAGACCAACCCAATTCCAACCTCTAGTCCCCACCTCCCTTTGTATCTCTGGGCAGCCCAGCCCCACAGCTTCCAGGAGCCAGCAGCTTGCCTGGGTAACTTTGGATGTGTCCACTGCACCTTGACTCCTCCAGCCTCATTCACCCTCCCAGCTCCACCACCCCAACTCTCCTACTAGCAGGGGCTCTGGCCTATCTCTTGTCGTGATACCCCAGACCCATGGACTGGCCTCTTAGCCCAGAATCCCTACTACTACTTCCTGATCCTTTGTGTGTGTCCAGACCAACTCAATTCCTCCCTGTAGTCCCTAGGAAACCTCGGGCCTCTTCTCTGCATCACCTCCCTTTACATGCCTGCAGGCCAGCATCTTTCCTGGGCCCTGCTCCTGGGCCAGCCCAGCCCTCAAATTCCTGAGGCCAGCTTCTTTCCTGGAGGGATCCAGACCTTAGGAGAAAGCCTGAGAGCATCTGTTCCTCATCCGACTTGGGCCTCTGTGGGAACTAGTGAGAAGCAAGATGAAAGCAATTTGGCTACTCCAATATAAAATCAAAAGAGAGAACCTGAAGCCTAGACAAAACAGCTTTTCATGCCCAACAGGTAAACCACAAAAGCACATAAAGTGAACAAAAAGAAGCAGACCTAAATTCAACAAATGAAGGCGTGAGTCTCACATAAGAACCAGAATCTACAAAAGAAATCCACAAGTCAAAGTCACAGAGGAAAAAATAATAACATGAAAAATCAAAATAATATATCCCCCCCGCCAAGTACCATCAGTCCTCTAGAGGAGTACAATGAGAACCCTCTAGAGATAACACAGGACATGGAACTCAAAAGAACAATTATAAACATGATAAAAGAATTCAGTGAATTTAAAGAACACACAAACAAAGAAATCAAAGAACTGAAAGAAGATAGGGGTAAACTTCAAATGAATTCAGAAAAGAATTAGAAATATTGAAGAATACTCAGGCTGAAATGAAGAAGGAAGTGAATCACTGGGTAAACAAATTAGAAATTACAAGAGAAAGCCTCACTACTAGGATGAATGAAATGTAAAACAGAATACCAAGACTGGAAGAGAAAGTGGACAAATTAGACCACTCAAGCAAAGATTATGAACATGAATGGAATACACATGACTTGTGTGACACCATAAAAAGACCAAACTTACAAATCATAGGCATACAGAAAGGAGAAGGAGCTCAGGATAATGGTTTGGACCAGATCTTCAACAGGATTGTAGAAGAAAATTTCCCAAAATTAAAGAAAGACATGCCCATACAAATACAACAAGAATACACAACACCAAATAGGCAGGACCAGAAAAGAAACTCTACATGGCACATGATAGTAAAAACACTAAATGTATAGAACGAAGAGAGAATACTGAAAGCTGCAAAAAAACCCCAACAAGTCACATATAAAGGAAAACCCATCAGAATTACAGCTGACTTTTCAGGGCAAACTATGAAAGCCAGAAGAGTCTGGACCAAAGTATTCCCAGTTTTAAATGACCACAGATGCCAACCCAGAATACTATACGCAGCCAAAATGTCTATTATAGTCAAAGGGGAAAGAAAAATCTTCCATGACATAAATAGGCTGAACGAATTCACGTCCATAAAACCAGCCCTTCAGAGAGTTCTTGAAGCAATAACAAGAGCTGAAGAAAGGAAGCACTATACCCAAGGTGTTATGGAAAGAAACTTAATGAAGGTGTAACTATGGAAATGCACAGTTACACCAAGAATGTGAACAAAAATAGAAATGACAGGAATCAATACACATCTTTCATTAGTAACTTTATCAATGGACTGAACACCCCAGTCAAAAGACACAAACTACTTGAATGGATTAAGAAACAAAACCTGAGCAGGGCATGGTGGTGCACACCTGTAAACCCAGCAATCAGGAGGTAGAGGGAGCCAGATCTCTGTGAGTTCAAGGCCACCCTGGTCTACAAAGTGAGTTCCAAGGCCAGCTGGGGCTACAGGGAGATGCTGTTTCAAAAAAGAAAGAAAGAAAGAAAAGAAAGAAAGAAACAAAAAAGGAACAATAAACCAAGAAGATATTACAATCATGAACATATATTCATCAAACTCTGGTATACCCAACTTCATAAAAACAGTACTACAGGACTTTAAGACCGACATTAATTCCAAATCATTAACAATGGGGGATTTCAAGACTCCATTGTCTCCATTAGCTAGGTCAAAAGGACAGAGAACTAACAGAGACATGTAAATTAAACAACACCATACATCCAATGGGCCTAACAGGCATCTACCAAATATTCCACCCAAGCACCAAAGAATATACTTACTATTCAGTGCCCCATAGAACTTTCTCCAAAATCGACCACATAGTGGGGCACAAAACAAACCTCAACAAATACAAAAAGATTGAAACAATTCTATGCATTCTATCAGACTGCAATGCAATAAAGCTTAAAATCAACACTGGAAGAAACCCTAGTAACTACATGAACATACAGAGATTAACACACTCCTGAATGATGAATGGGTCAAAGGAGAAATTAAGAAAGAAATAAAAGTATTCCTGGAAGTAAATGAAAAGGACAATACAACACACACACACACACACACACACACACACACACACACACACAAAAACCCCTCTGGGACATGTTGAAAGTAATCCTTAAAGGGAACTTTATAACTCTAAGTGCCTATTTCAAAAAATTAGGAAGAACACAAATAAATGACTAAACATTGCAAGTCAAGACACTTGAAAAGCAACACCAAATGAAGCCCAAATCCAGCAGACAAGAAGAAATAATAAAAATCAGAGCAGAAATTAATGAACTAGAAACAAAGAAAACAGTACAAAGAATCAACAAATCCAAGAGCTGGTTCTTTGAAAAGATAAACAAGATTGACAGACTGCTAGCCCAGTTAACCAAAAGAAAGAAAGAGCACCTCCAAATCAACAAAATCAGAGATTAAAGGGGAAACATCACAACAGACACCAAAATGATCCAGAAAACTATAAGGGAATACTTTAAAAACCTATATGCTACTAAATTCGAAAATCTAAAAGAAATGGATGCATATCTAAAGGCATGGGAACCACCAAAACTAAACCAAGAAGAGATTAACAGCTTAAACAGACCCATATCACAAAAAGAAATTGAAACAGTAATACAAAACCTCCCGACTAAAAAAAGCCCAGGACCAGAAGGATTTACAGCAGAATTCTATCAGACATTTAAAGAAGATCTCCATCCAATACTTCTTAATTTATTCAAAAAGATAGGAATGGAGGGAGAACATCCAAATTTCTTCTATAAAGCCAGCATCACTCTAATACCAAAGCCAGGTAAAGATACAGCCATAAAAGAAAACTATAGACCCATATTCTTAATGAGCATAGATACAAATACTCTCAACAAAATACTTGAGAACCTCATACAGACACACATCAAAAAGATCATCCACCATGATCAAGTTGGCTTTATTTCAAAGACACAGGCATGGTTCAATATATGTAGTCAATAAACATCATAAATCATATAAGTAGACTCAAAGACAAGAACCACATTGTCATCTCAATAGATGCAGAGAAGGCCTTTGACAAAATTCAACA